CTTTTCATTACAGCATCACTGAGTTGGTATTATATTACTCCATTCATATGTTAGACTGTTAAATGAGTTTACGTCATTACGAAAGCAGAGGTCATGTCCACAGTAGCCACCAAAAAAGAAGATTTCATTGTTTCTGGTAGTACAGAAGGATCCTATAGGTCCTAGAGGAGGTGTTGTTCTTCTGGTCACGTGAGAGGACCAACGACCAGTCCTAAACTCCAGTCTATCAATGGTGGACAACAATTTCCTCTTTTGTGGGGAATCATGAACAAGAGGTAAGTCAGGCCTGTCCCCTCCCCACAAGAACACTGATTCTCCTACTACAGGAGCTGAGTGTAGAGATATCCCTCCCAGTTGATAGATACCTGTAAAGTACAAACATGATAAGAAAGAGGAGGAAGAAAACAGAAACTGACCTTTAGACATTGTTTGTGAAGAATGCTAATTAACCAGCCACACCCATGAATGTGGGCGGTAGTTTGCTAATCCTAAGTGGGTGGGGCTCAGTCTAAAATGTAAGTCTATCTCTCTCTCTCCTCTTTTCTTTTAAATCATTCAGTGTCTCAATTATCCTAATGTATCACTGGTGATATGATATCTTTTATTCTCTCCAGGTCTATCCTATCATTATTTGCAATCCAAATAATTATTGAGGTGAAAATATAGGTACAAGAATTATAAGGTAATTTTTAACTTACAATGAAAGTATTACACACATAAAGGACCCTATAACATTGTGAGTCTTGGTGCAAGCTGTGTACATTATTTTATAAAAAGGAAATCATCTTTTCCTTTCTTTTATAGTTGTGGGCAATCCTTATCTGCATAATATTGGTTATCATTGTTCTGGTCATTGATGGTGAGTTTTTAATTGATAGTTTTATTTTCAATTTATGTTTATTATATAGGAATAGCATGTTATTTTGCTAGTGGTTGCCCACTTTAACTGTCATAATAATTGTTGATGAGTTTATACTGAGTATTTTATGTACTGTTGTCATTATATTTTCAATAATTCCAGATTATAATATTATTTTTTTTGTATATATTGTATTACATATTAACATATGCAGCTTAAACAGTAGCAATATTTCATTTATTGTTTTTATGTTGCTTTATAAAAATCCACCTTAATACTTAATACTCATTAACCTCCCAGGAAACTTGATGGTAAGCAAATTATTCATGAACTTGAAATCAAACAATCAATTAAAACATAGTAATACAATTATTATTATTATACTTACATTATTAGTTGAAGTGTCTTTAAGTGTCACTGGTGGTTTATGTACAGTTGGTAATGGACTTTTATCAATTGATTCTCTCACTGATAATAAATATTTATTATTATCCTCCAGTGAGTCCTAAAAATAATAAATAAAAATACATATTGATTATAAGAAAATTAAAAAATTCGTAAGAAATCCAATTTTGATTGGAATCAGTTCGAACTTTCTATGCTACACAAGTACATGTATACACATCAAAAAATGTTATAAAAGTGAAAAATTCTCTCTTGGCAATTTTCGACAAAATACCCCTGTACTACACTGGTGACAATTTTTAACCTGTATTACACTGTTGGTAATTTTTGACAAAATGAAAATTACAATGTACAGTAATTTTTGTGTTTCTGCATGATAATAATAAAAATAATGATGATGATGATGATTTTACTCACCTTCAATGCTGTCATATACTGTGCTCTCTTGACACCAGTTATCTCAGTTCTGATACTCTTTCTTAGCTTTCATCTTAAAAGCAGTATATAATATCTTCCCCTTTAAATAATACATTATTAATAACAATAATGAGAATATAAGACGATAAATGACTCACTCCATCTTCTTGTGATTTAGAAATAAGAGGAGGAGCTACTGGACGCCATTTTTGGGTGTGATTAACATTAATTTCTTTCATAATGTGTCCTCAAGCTAGTCCTGCCCCTCAGCCCCACCTCTTTGTTACTGAGCACAAATTGAACTGTGCTATTGCAAGCGTTA